GTTTTCATGGTAAAAAAAAGATTGGAAAATGATACTCGGAACAAAGAAGTTCAGCAAAAGTTTTGCAGCTAATGGAACATGTAGAAATACCTATTTCTAATACTACTTTAAGTGAGAATATGCACAAATCTGAATAGTTGTGTTCATTTCATACATATTTTTCATTATTTTATCTTCCATATGTACTATAAAGCTGTTTATGCTTAACTAAGTGGTATTCAGAGGAGGTTATGATTTAGCCTCTGTTTCAGGACTTACCAGGTTTCGCTCAGATATTTGAAAGGGATAAGGATTTATTCTTTTGGGTTTGCCCCTCTTCTAGGGTCTTTCAGTTGCAGCTTTCACAAGTTATGTGCTTGGCATTAAAATACTTTTTCCTTCACACTTGCCAAGTTAGATGCTTGCCAGGGGCATTTGGCATGCAAACAGAGCCCAGGGATGGTTATATATTGATAAATGCAGTAGGTGTGGACATGACTTTGCAAACTGAAGAAGCTGGGGCAGAAGGCCTGCAATTTGACAAGGTTTTCTTTAAAGAACATGCTTTTCAAAACAGATCAAGATTGTAAATGTGAATTGCCTTCTCCTTGGCTGGTTGTTTCAGGAAGAATACACAACACTGAATGAGAATAGCAGAGTAGTGTTACAGTACGCTGACAGCATCCTTCTGTATTTGCGGTGGTGCATGCATGGTTGCTTCTTGGCTTGTAATTCTCTTTTCTCCTGCTGCCTTTTCCTCATTCTGCTTCCTTTCTTCACCTTTTTCTGCTGTTAATCGTACCTTACCGTCCTCTTCCCCCACTTCACCTAGTGTTTTGCCTTTCAACTCCAAGGTGCATGCATCATCTTGGGCTGGATCTACATGAGACTTAAGTATGAAATGTTCAGTTACAGGCCACATCATTTATATGCGTCTTAATTGCAAATGCAAGTTTACCAACCAGATGAAGAATAAAGATGTGACTATATTAAAATTAGGAAGTCAGGAAAAGATGAAATTTTGTATTTTTCTTGCTCTCTTCCTAAAAATTTTTCTCATGTTTATCTTTAAAACCAGGACATTTCAGAGTTGGATTTGTTAGACTTAATTTTTAATTTAATTTTTTTTTCCCGCATTGTTTTATGTTAAGATTGCTTTCACATAGCAGCCAGCACTGTAATAGAGAAAGATTTAAACTTTGGCAGCTTAGAAACAGTTGTGGTTAACTGAATAGTTCAGTTCATGATGTTACTACTTCCAGGGTGTACAAAGTTACCTCATTCAGCTATAGATAAAACAGGTCCAAAATGGCAGTGTGAATGACAGTATTTTGGAGGATTTCCACTTACTTGGGAGTTTAAAGACATACACATTAACATGTGTGAGATGTTACGAAGGATGGAGAAGGGAGTTTGGCAGTTTACATTTAGGTTAGATCTCAAGGTAAACTTTATTGTGTTTGATGACTATAAACTACCCAGATGCTGTTGCTGTCAGTAAGCAATCAGATTTAAATGCCGCTTCCTGTCTGTTTGGAGACTGGTGCTCTGGTTCTGACAAATGATGAAATGGTGGTTTTGGGACTTGTGGTTTTGTTTGTTTTGGTTTTTTGGTAACTCTGATCTTTAAATAGCTAGAGATCACTTCATATTACTGTGGTTATTTTGTTTCTGTTCCAGCTTATTTGGTATTTTAAGGTGACTGAATCTTTAGTTATTCAGACTTGCTAGGCAATATGTGAACTAAAGCACCAGGCATATGTTTTGGGTTCCCATTAAATGGTTTTAATTATTTCACTAGTGTGACTATACTGATGAAAAGGTGTTATGATTGCAATATCTTGCTCTTCTGCTGAGATCAGCTGAAGCACGTTCAGGTTCTTGACTTCCTGTATTTGGAGAAAGCTGAAAACTGATAGCAGACCAGAATGCTTTGACTTGGCTTCTCTGTCTTAGCAGTTTCTGCCGAAATGCTTGCTGAAATATAGTATTAGGCACTGAAAGACTTTGTTCTCTTATTTCAGTTTTTGGCATAAATGTGAAGGTTGTTCATACATGACCAAAAGTCCAACGTCAGGCTTCCTTTTGCCTTTATCAGGGCTGCAAGCCAACTGCCTTAAGCTGGTTTCTGATTTTGCTCAGAGCAGCTTGTCTGAATCTGATGTGTGACATTGCAGTCTCCTCTTCAGAATCCCATTCCCTTTGGTTTACAGAAGCATTAGCAGTTGTTTCTCTCTAGCCTTTCCTGAAACATAACTCTGTTGTAAACTGGAGTTTTCACAAGTCCTTGTAGCAACAAAAACTTCCCTGAGAGAATTTCTGAGTAAAATAGTCATGATACTCAAAAGGGATGTGTTTATTTTCTTGATTGGTTGGGCAGAGAATTATCTGAAGATCGTTTATTACTTGCTTTTGGTAGGAATGATTCCAAATAGTTCCATTTGTAGGTCTTAACCATTCAGGTGGTAAGTGACAACACTCCTGCACTATACCCCCCCTAAGTAGGAAACACAATGTGCAGCATTTTCAGTGTTCAGGTTCCCTCAAAATTTTCCTATACCCCTAAATTTCATTCAGGGGAGATGCATGGTCTGTGAACTAGGAGAATCTAATTGAGGACCCTGGGGAGTCGGGACTTCAGGGTGTGCAGTGTGTGGAGTACAGCATATTCTTGGAGTAGCTGGAGTGTGTGCCATGGAACCAGGAGTGGGGGATGTACCACAGAGCACGGCTAAAAACGTTGCCCTGCAGATCTATAACTTCTGGTGTGGGTTGTGGAAAGAACCTAACTGCTACCTGTTGAGGAGATTGCTACCAGGGTTGTTTAGTAGAAAACCTTGAGTAGTGTGGCTAACTACAAGAAGATCTTTGCTCCTGAGAAGTGCATGTGTGAGACCTTGTCAGCTGCTTGGATTTTTCATGTTTTTCATGTTGCCTGTTTAACTAATTCAAGATTTTGTCTGTCTAGACACACCAATATAAAAAATTCATGCAGTCACACTTGCTGACTTGGAAATTCAAAGAACTTTCTTGACCGGCACAGTTAAGTAGGGCTTCAAAACAGTTAGCTTTCACACAGAGTATTTTTCTAAGGATTTAGATTGTGGAGGAAGAATTGAAAGGAAATTACTTCAGACTAATGTATTTTATAGTGGGGAGAAATGAATAGCTTAGTGTTAGTTTTTTATTTCTCCAGTTTCTTATAAATCTCCCCCTCCATTTTTCAATCTGCTTTCGCCTGGCAGAGCATGCCATAGTTAAAAATATACATAATTTACTGGGAAGATTATCAAGTTGGAATGAAATTCCCTTTGATTTTATGCTAATCGAGTAATCATTGATTATTTGAGTGCGCCTTTTATCTTATGCTTCAAGTGGGTAAATCAGCTCATCATACTAAGAAAACTGAAGCTGGAAAGTCATTGAAATAGAAATTGCTCAACAGAAGAATTCCATGATTAATAAATCTGAAAGATGTTTCTCTTTGTATAGCAAAGAGGGAGTCCCTACAGAGGTCTTTTCTATTGCCTGTGACCATAAGTAGTTAGATATTTCTTACTGAATTGTGTATCATATAGGTTATTACCAGAATTTCATTGGTGGCAGCATCAGAACTTAAGGCGAGAAGAAATTGGGTTGTAATAATGCATAATGAAGAGATAGTCATGTCAGGCATTCCAAATTCAGTAGCTGATAATTTGGACACAGCTTTTGTTTGCATTTAGTAATCATACAATACCTCTTTTCCCTCAAAGCCTTGCCTGTGTGAGAATTGTCTTTAGGACCTCCTTAAAGGCTTAGTTTTACCCAAATGAAAGGTCATAGAGCAGGTAATCTCAATGCTTAGGCTTTTTGCATCTGCCCTCATCAGACTGCACAGAAAAATCTCTACTCTTCCTAGGATTTATGATGTTGACATTTGTGGGGCTGATAACTCTTTACACTTTTTTCCATCATATGGTTCAGAGATTTTGATAATTATGTTGTTTTCCTAACCCTTTGTCTGTCCTAAGGAATTTGGTTTACTCTAATCCATAAATTGGTAGCAGTTCAATGCAACAATAAATGATAATCTCTTCCACAAAACCAAAAAAACCTAATTTTTGCAGCAAGTTTAAGGAACTAGAAATCTACATAATTCAAGATTTTTTTCTGGAAAGTATATTTAAAAACACAGGAATATATAGGACCTCCCCCAGTATTTTCTTCCATCACCTAAAGGAAAATGTTGATGGTCCCTCCAAGTCTGAATAGACGAGGGACAGCAACTGATCCAGAAGATAAATCTTGTTTGATGGTCCTCTAGGTTTTTTAAATAACATTTTAACAGTTAGACTTCACAATAGCTTAAAAGATTCCTTTATCCTCTCTAAAGAGACAGTTACAAGTGGCTTCATATGTAGAACAATAGAATCCTAAAATTTGTGAAAATGGATAAAAGTACAGCGATGAAATTACTTAAAAAAGATGGATACAATTGGAGTTTTCTGATGGCTTTTGATGACATGTTTTATAAACATTACAGGTTCTGGTGTAGCTTTCTCTTTTTCTTATTGCAAAGTCAATTTCTTTATAAGCACATAGGCCAAGCTGTCTCAAGATAAGTAATATATTGTCCTAGTGACTGTTCCATCAAAAGGTTGTACTACTGTAAAGGAAAGCACAGATTACAATTAGATTAAAATATTAAAAGTCATAACTGAAAGATGCTCTGTAACACCAAATTATTATTTATTTACCTGTCAAAGTAACAATATGCTACTGGTCATTGGGTTTCTTTACTCCTTATAAAGCTAAATATACTTTAATATTTGATATCACAGTACAGTCACTTGGTTATTGCCTGTTTTTCAACTCCTGGGAAATTTGGCTGCAATTTCCTTCTCCTGCTCATTTCATGAATTCCTTCTAATAAGTGCATCATTTCTGAGACCTCTCCTTCTCTATGTTCCATTTGTATCCCTTTTCCGCCTGTGTTGCCTGGATTTGCTTTTGCAAAATGAAGGAGTTTTGTCTTTCAGAGCGGGAAGGTCACAGGAAGCGATTCAGGAGGTGTCATTGATCTTACACTGGATGAAGAGGATGACGCCTCTTCTCAAGGTAGGTGAAAAAGATTTTGCTAGCTGCAGGGGTAATTCAGCTACAAGTATTATTTCATCCCTTGAATGGTAGAAAGGGATAAGCTTCTGTTTCTGCTTAGTGTGTTTTATTCCCTGGTGTTTCAGTTAAACAGGACTGTTATTAAAGAATTCTTATAGGCATTAAATAAAAAGAATTCTACTTGCTGTAAAACAGTCTTTAAGATTTTTACCTTTCCCTTAATTTAGGCATTGTTGCTGTCTATGCTTAAATCTGTCAGGCTTGTGGAATAATTTGAAATGTTTGAATTCTTTATTATATTTTGGAAAGTTCTTCCAGATATATTTAATTTTTCTGTTTACTGATTAAAGACCTTTTAATTCTACAGTGGGTATTCAGGCATTAGATTATTACAGCTTCTAATCTTTTGTTTAACTAAAAAAATTTTGCTTGCAAGAGTTTAGATTCCGAATGCAGATCTGTTCTTTGGCTTGGGACTGTATGCCAAGATTAGAGTAAATACAGTTTTGCTCTTGTATCCTTTGGCAGTGTGGATGTACTTCATCTTATAAAAAATGGATTCTTTTGAAAGCCTTGTGTAACTGTGGGCAGGTCTAATTATATATACACTATATATTTGCATTGGATTAGCAAAGAATTCTCTTATTTCAGAGAAGTAATGAGTCTGTACTTAAGGCCATGTATGGTGCTGTCATCTTAACTGAAAAATTGATATTTCTACTATTAGAGATAAATTTTAAGTTCTGTATGGTCTCTAAACGTATTCTGAAGTCCAGCCACCAAGAAGTTTGATTCCTCTACATGATCTCTCTAGCTACTGCATTGAAGTTCTACACATACATTCTTAGTATTTTTACTTGCTCCATACTAGTATTACACAAAAGTAGAAAATCATACTGGGATATGGTAGCATTTCTTTCAGTGAGGGAGAAATACAGTATTGCCACCAAAAGGAGTTCATGTGGTACACAGGTATTAGAGAAGCATTATGCAATACAGATAGCTGTCAGTCTGGTTCTTTTATCAACAGAGGATATATGATGGACACTGAATTGCGTATGAGCCAAGAGTGTATTTTCATGTAAATTTAAGTTAGTATCCCCCCGACATTGACACTAGTGGGCCCACACCTGAAATACGGTGTCCAGTTTTGGCTCCCCATTCCTTGAGTTCAGAAGAGTTGTGGTGGCACTGGAGAGGGCCCAGTAGATGGTGTCAGGATGATGGAGGCATAGCGTACGTGACCTGTGAGAAGAGATTGACAGACTGTGGCACGTTTGGTAAAGAGCAAACTGAGAGACAATGTGATAGCAGCCTACAACTGCTTGGAGGATTAGAGTAGTTACAAAGATGATAGAGACAACTCTTCTCAGCAGTGCCAGATGATAATATGAAGGGGCAGTGGCCATGAACTACAAGTTCAGGAGGTTCAGGTTGAGCTTGAGGGGAAAAGAAATCACAGTAGGAGGGTAGTGCAGCACAGAGGGATGGTAGAAACTCCACTCTTGAATGTTCTGAAGATTCAGCTGAGCCAAACCGCAAGTCATTTGATTTAGTGTTGGTGACAGTCCAGCTTAAAGAAGAGTTGACTACATGGCCACCAGAGGTCGTTTCCAGCCGGGATTTTGATGATTCTGTGAATTGCTTAGCTGAGTGTCAGAATAGCATAGGGAATCAAGTTTTAACCACTGTCATCTCTTCTGAGGGCTGGTTCTCAAAAAGATGAAAAAGATTCTTGCACTTGAACTGTGGAACTCTGTCAGGTAGGGTTAAGCTACCCAGTCCTATTTAATAGTCTGTGAAAGACACCAACAGATCTAAATGGATTTATGGTATGTTTTAAAGTAGCATGTCACAGTATTGTAATGTATTTCAGCTAATCCTTGTCTACCAAAAATAACATTTTTCAGAGAGCGTTTTCCTCCCTGATGCATAAAGTATGTCTTCACAATTACCATAAAAGATCAACACCATGATTGCATGTACAACTATAAGAATGCTTCTCTAAGTAGAAGCGCTACCAGCCATGGCAGAGTCGTAGCTGCATTACAGTATAGTAATGTTCTTTCTCGGTTTCTTTTTGGGGGCTTGAGCCAGTATCTCTATAATTTCTTTCTTCTGGGATATTCTGAGATTCTTTCCCCTTAGTTATCAGGTTTTAGAAAATCATCCTTTCATTAGGAGGAGTGTTAGTGGGGTACTTCCAGGCTGGGTTAGCTCCTGTGTGTCTCTTCACTGCAAAGCATAAGCCAGCCTCTAACGGATAGTCTGCAGCCTTGCAGATCAGTTTATATTTAGTTTGTGTGAGGAGTCAGTATTTTTCATACAAGCTGTAGAAATGTATGGACTAAAAGCCTAATAAAAGCTTGAGTTTCACCATGCAGTGAAAATACATCTCTAGGATTTTGAACAAGTTTCTTGGGAAATAATTCATGTGTTCTAAGAAGACTACACTTCTGACACCTTTTGCATAATCATTTGCATGTATATACCTCTAGTTTGTGTGAGGAGTCAGTATTTTTCATACAAGCTGTAGAAATGTATGGACTAAAAGCCTAATAAAAGCTTGAGTTTCACCATGCAGTGAAAATACATCTCTAGGATTTTGAACAAGTTTCTTGGGAAATAATTCATGTGTTCTAAGAAGACTACACTTCTGACACCTTTTGCATAATCATTTGCATGTATATACCTCTGGCCACATGTTTTTTCCACTGCACTTTGTTTACAGCAAATGTGGAGCAAGTTTGATTTTGTTCTAGATTTACTGGTACATAACCTTAGGATAGAAAGTACCTCCAGCATTATGGTGTTTACTGCAGTATGCTGGAATGTCAGTTCAGTACTAATTCAAATAGAAGAGCAATACCTATATAGTGTTCTTGGGAACACTCAGATCCTGATTATTTTGTTTAAAGCAGTGTCACCACATACTAAGTAACCTAATTCTGTTACTTACAAAAGGTATTTAAATAGATGTTAATATCTGGAGAGAGATGTCTATCATGTGCTTCCCTTTAAATCTCTTCTGGTGCAACTAGGAAACAAAGTTACACTGTTTTGGTAGCATACAACTACCATGTATGTCCTTGTTGGTTGAAACTACTAAAGATTCAGGTTGAGAGTAAATTTTAACGTTGTAGATTTTTAAACTTGTTCGTGTAATCGACTCTCCAACCCTTCCTTTTCCCAATGAAGTTGCCATTTGGATCAATAATCAATATCTGTAATATTGTATACTAGTGTATGCATATAGGGTAAATTAGACTTAAACTTTAGGTTAAGAACTATGGAATTTTTAGGTGTTCCATTTTGTGAGGATATTAAACTGAAATCAGAGTTTCTGTATTGGGTCATGGAGGAGCAGACCTGTATAGACTGTCATCAAGCCCAGTCTTCAGTCATGGTAGATAGACAAAACCTGGGCGGAGATTGTGGGGGGACAGTGTCATAGCTACTGGGACCTCTAATCATGTGCTCGAACCACTGGATTTGGACACAGTACTCCTACAAAACAGAGCAGCTGTCCTTCAACAGCTATTGGTTTGGCATTTTGAAACCCCACTGTTAACACTGAAACATGTGTTTCTAACTTCCAGCCCCTTCTTTACATGTAGCAGTTTGCACGGAGATTGTGGGGGGACAGTGTCATAGCTACTGGGACCTCTAATCATGTGCTCGAACCACTGGATTTGGACACAGTACTCCTACAAAACAGAGCAGCTGTCCTTCAACAGCTATTGGTTTGGCATTTTGAAACCCCACTGTTAACACTGAAACATGTGTTTCTAACTTCCAGCCCCTTCTTTACATGTAGCAGTTTGCATTCAAATAGTGCTTCATGGGGGGGAAAGTATTACCACCACGCTGGAAACACTCGACCCACAGAGCTTAGATTTGCATTTCTTCTCTTTACCTTATCAGACAAGCAACACACAGATATTCTGTAATCAATAAAATATGCAGGTTTTCCTGATCGTCTTCACTGCCCCACACATGATTTCCCACATTAATAGTAGAAGTTCTTATAAATTCCTAAATGACTGATGTTGTATTCTCTCTCTTATCTTCTTTTTTCTAGTTATCAAGTCTTAGCTTTGTTCCTGTGTGATATTTTGTCCACCTCCATACTGGTAGCATCTTCCAGTTTAGTACACTAAATTAAGTGCACACCCTCTGATGCGTGTAAAAATTATTAATGAAAATGTTGTGTAACATTTGAGAAAGTGTGTTGTTAATTTCTGTTCAGACATCATCCTTTTATTTGAGATAAAAATCTAGATACCTGTCTGCAAGTATCTTGCAATACCTGTACAGTCCTCTTGCTGTCCTTTTTATTAAATATATGTGTAGCGCACTGCATCAAATTATTTCATAAAACTACTAAAGCAACTAATAGATTTAGCTGATACCTATCCCTACTCTAAAATGGATTTGTAATCTAAGAAAGACACAGAAGTGTACTCTAGAAAACAGCCATGTTTGACTTTTTTAGCATTT